CATCAGCCATCTATTATGCGGCAGGAAGAATGTATCATATGGAGGCGATCGTCCACGGCGTGCACAAATTGGGACCGAATGACGAAAGGACGGGGCAATGTAGATGCAATTTTGCGATGATTGTAGGCCGATTCCTGCGACCCAATTTCGCCACAGGCGCGCATGGATGTTACAGGCACAGGCCGTCGCCAATGCTGTGCGACAACGTTCATGGTCGCACGTCGCAGCGCGGCGATGACTGACGCCCGTCACGCCTTCGCCCCGCCTTGTGATCAGAGCGAGTCGCGTCGAACGGTAGGATGCGACTCCCAACTCCTGTCAGGCACCGCGCACGCATCGGCTGTAACTTCTTCCGCATCGTTTTACCCCTTAAAGGAGTCCCTGGCTTTTTTTTCCTATTCTGTCGATAACAGTGTATCTCGCGGTTCAGACTCGCCCTTCCCCTGATCCTCCACCAGCTTCGATTGAGCAACCTCACGCGCTATTCTCCCCTCGCTCCATTGTTAGTCCTTGCCATCTCCTCTCTGCTTCTCTTCTCCTGTCGCTCCTACGTTTGGGTCTTCACTCGTTCTGCAAGATCACGTCGCATGAAGCCACGAGGTTAGGCAAGGCCAGCGTCGCTTTCCCGTTTAAACGTAGCCATTCTTGTTCGTCAAACTTACCCGTGACTTCGCAGATTCCCTACCTTGAGACGATCGTATCTCTTGTGTTGAGACTCTGTTTCTGCACCCTTGCTTTTCGGAACCACCTGACTGCCATGCCTGAATGCTGCAGGTCCTTTCTGCTTGACGCCGACCTTGCAAATTGCAAAGCTAAAGAGAATAAATCCGCCTTGGAAGAAGCACGCCATCGCACAGAATAGCCGAGGTAAACGTTCGGTTTCACCTCCATTGCAATTCGCGTCTTCCCCTCCTTTCCTCCCCTCCTCCCTTTTCTTGCCCTCTCCATCGCTCTTTCGCATTATCATGTAAGTTGATAGATCCCTTACTCCCCTCTCTGACTACTCCCCCACTTCCTCCTCCCCTATATCTCAGGTTCCGACCTCCTCCCATGCGATTCAGATTCCTTCCTCGTGCTACGAGGTGTCCAGCTGAGCCCTCTATGGCCCGAGTGTCTGAAGAGGATGCGGCAGTCAACGGGCTGCTCATGGCGTTCGTCCTTCGCAGCTCCTCACTCTTCATGTCCGCCTGCCTTCCTCTATGCGCACCCCCATACCCATTCTAGTGTCTTTCTCTTGGTCCCTGTGCATGTTTCGCTCCTCATCACTACAGTGTTGTATCTTTGCATCCTTCCTAACCTGTATCCTTAAGCTCTCAGAGCATACATGTTTTTGCTCATGAATTTCTGTATTTTTTTTGCTTTGGATATACATCTTCATAAAGTGTATTGCTATGCTTTATACATCCCCGGTGTATTCCCATCCCACACACAGGGAGCTTGCGAGTAAAGCCATCGACGCCAGTTTAGGGCAGAGCGGTGAATGGCACAAGAGGCAAGAGGCCCTGGAGACGACAGTGACAGCGCTCGCTGCGCAGCTCGAAGCAACCAGGAAGAAGGTGGAGGAAGCTGAGGGGAGGGAAGAAAGGGTTGTGGAGGAGCTGGTGGGCGTGAAGGCGGATGTGGCAGAACACAAGGATCATCTGCTGGTGCTGGAGGGGACTCTCACAGACCGTGAGCTGGTAAGCAATGCTTGAATCTGGGTGCTTGAGCCGGTTGCTGCAAGGAAGCAAGGCAGACGCATTTAGGGAATGCTCTTGTACTGCAAGAAGCGCGCTCATTATTCTGTGTGACTTTATCTGCAGGAGTTGGCAAACACAAGGGGAGAGGTGGCAGCCCTGAGAACGGAACTGGACCAACTGAAACGTGACACCGAGAAGATATGGGAGGTACGTTGTTGTGAGTGTCGTGGATGGTGGTGTCAATGGCTGGGGCACTCAGCTCAGGGTGCCACATGTTTCTGCTCCAGGTGCTGTGGTTGGGGTGCTGGTGCTGGTTGTCTTGTCAGCACGTGTCCAAACCAACACCGCCTTGTGCTCTAACATGATTGTGATGATAACCCTGTGTTTCCTCCCTCTAAGCCCTTCTCAGGCCATCCTCGCAGCAGCACCAGCTCGCACCTCGTTGGACGTGAAGAACATCTCGTGCCTCTCAGATGCAGTCCTTGGGAAAATCTCTTCCATGACTCAGCTGGAGTCTATCGGCCTTGATGGCTCCTCGGGGTTCACCGCAGAGGGCATCAAGCAGCTGTACAGGCTGCCCCAGCTGCGTGGGCTGGACATGCGCAACACACCCATCTCAGACGATGCCTTGGATGGCATTGGGGTGCTCAGCGGCAGCCTTGAAATTCTGAGCCTCGTGGGCACCAGGGTCACTGATGCCGCCCTGCAGCATGTGGCCGGTCTTTCCTCCCTCACACTGCTTGATCTGGTTGGCTGTCGGTTTGTGACATGTGCCAGCATGGTGCATGTGCGGAAGCTGGTGCATCTAGAGGGTCTTCACCTGGGCTCCACTGGGGTGAAGGACGATGGGCTGCCGCACCTCCTCTCGCTCTCCAAGCTGAAGATCCTGGCTGTGCCACCCGGTGTGACCGATGCTGGCATGGAGCAGGTTGCACAGTTGACTACGCTGGAGCGGCTAGACCTGTGGGATTCCACAGTGACGCAGAGGGGGGTGGGGAAGCTGATGAATCTGCCTCATTTGATTCGGATTCGAGGCAACAGCAATGCCTTGGATTCGTTGATCACGAGGTATCTTCCTCGTGTGGCGATTGGTAGTCAGGATATCATCATCCCGTAGTTTGTTGAAAATATTCATCTACCCGCAGCATGGAATGGAAAGTGGTGTGAGTGAACGAGTGTGTTCTGTTCTGTGCCTGGTGGCTTTCATTGAAGTGTCTTGAAAATTTCTGGATCCGTAAGGGCCTGCTGCCTGTAGTGCCATCACCTCACCATCATTCTTGAGATTCGGAACATCTGTTTTCAAGCTTTCCAGTGTCGGGGTACGGTAGTGGACCTTCGAAGTCATTCATAGATAGCAGAGATAATATTTTGTTAAAAGGCGGCAGGGCAGGTGTACCGTAACTTGTGCTACAGAATTTTAAAATACTCATAAACTTTCCAAAAAACCCTCTGGGCTTTGCCTCGTCTGGCATGGCAACCTTGAACCAGCGGGCCCACTGGAGGCTGCTACAGGCCAAGGGCACGCGCCATGGCATCTCTGGTGCCCTTCCCGCCCGCCTTGCAGTACACCCACAGCAACTCCAGAATCTCCTCGAGGGGGTGTGCATGCAAGAGGGCAGGAGCAAGGGCAAGGAGGAGAGTTCATGGGCGTCATGAAACGATTGGTAGGGAGCACAGAGAGAATGGGAGCAAGGAGAGCATGGGAGAAAGGTGGGCATAGGAGCAAGGAGAGCATGGGAGCAAGGTGAGCATGGGAGCAAGGTGAGCATGGGAGCAAGGTGAGCATGGGAGCAGAAGGGCACTAGCTCTCGACCTTCGACAGGTTGGAGCTGATTCCGAGGAGTTAGTCCCTGGTGAGGCAGAGGAGCATGTCTTCAAGAGGCAGTGAGTGAGTGGCTCGCGATCTGGACTGGTCCAGCACGTTGGAGCTGATTCCGACCAAGGAGTTTGTCCCCCGATGTGTGGATGATGTCCCCATGAGGGGCGTGCCGATCAGCAGCACCGCCACTCCCAACACAACGGCAGGTCTGTTGCATGGAGGAGGAGGGGAAGGGGAGGGGAAGAAAGAGGGAGAGCTGTCGCAACCTGTGGAGATGAAACAGGAGTGAGCTTTCCTACATGGGGGTTGTGCTCCGCAGCTCTGCCACACTCCAGCCACGCCTGGCTTGGGAGGGAAGGAGGAAGGCAAGAGGAGGGGAAGGGGGGAGAAAGGGAGGGAAAGGTGTGGGAAAGGGGAGAAAAAGGGGAGGGAAAGGGTAGGGTAAGGTGAGGGAAAGGCTAGGGAAATGAGAGGTGAAGAGGAGAGAAAGGGGATGGTATGGGAGGAAATGGGAAGGGTAGGGCGAGGGAAAGAGGACGGAAAGGGGAGTGTGGAGTGTGGATGAAAGGAAGGTACCTCCGATCTCAGTCAACCATTACCGTGCACTGGTGTATGTGCCACAAACGTCATGCACACACCATGTAAGCACCACACACGCCATCATGCATACCATGCTCACACCATGGACACACCACATATGCGGCACGCACACTATGCACATTCACGCATAGCACCAATGGAAGGTGTGCGGTTGCAGCATGGGAGATAGCGGTGGGAGTAAGGGAAAGTGGGGAACAGTGAGCAGCAAGAGGAATAGGGGAGGGGGGGAGGGAATAGGAGCCGGAGCAAGTGGGTGGAGAACAGCGGAAGCAGCAGTAGCATAAAGAAGGCAGAGAATGGCAGCCGTAGGGGAGAAAAGAAGGAAGGCCGTCACGTCACACACTGAGTGCGCAGGATGGGATGTCTGCGACAGAAATGAGGCCCCCTTGTTGCTTCTCACCGTCGAATTGCTGCAATCCCGGCCGACCGCCAAGGGACTTACGGCAGATCAAATGTCACAGATGGACGGTCGACGCACTGCAGACTTGAACCAAGGGCTATACCCCTTCAAGGCTCGGCGCGTGGATGCCCAGTGGTTCAAGGCTCGGGCTGTTACCCTTTAAGCCTGGGCATGGGAGCGGGGAGGCGGGAAACGCATTGCAGGGAAGGGGGGCACATGCTCAATATTCTGGGGGGGTGTATGTGGGGGGCGTTGCGACACGATGGCATGTGCGGACCGGAGGAAGCGAGGAGGTGAACGGTGGCCAAAAGTGCGAGGTGAAGGACGAGAGAGTGTCGAGAGAGAGCGAGCTGAAGGGAGAAGAGACGAGGGGCGGAAAATAGGTGAGAGCATCACGGTAACGGGGCGGTTATGGTTCTAGCGGTCGACTTACCATCGCACAGGCGTTCGCCATACAGCTGTTGCTTCAGCCTCGAGGTCCCTTCCCCTTTTGTCTGCCCTTCGAGACATTACTCTCGGAGCTCCGTCCTCCCACATTCTCTTGCGTTCTGCTCATATTTTTCCCCGTTCCTTCTCCTGCCGTCGCCTCCGCTCCTCCACTCGCTGCTGCACCTGCAGCTCGCCCTGCGCCGCCGAGCCCACAAGGGCAACCGTCCTGCCTCAACCTGCTTACAGCGGGGACAAAAGAGGTGACAAACTCGGACGGTGCTGCTTTGCGTGCAGAGAATTCTGGCTTTCGCGAATACGAAGCGCCGCGAAGGCCTGTTATAAATTTGACTCGGAGGCAAGAGGCAGCGGTAAACGAAGGATCAAACCATGCGCCTCTAAAGCTGCACCCTTGCAGGTGATTGATCCTGAATCGTCTCAATCAAACGGGATTCATCATCGGCTCGGAACGCGGCTACGACTAACAAACGCGCAGCTCGCTCTTGAGAGAAAATTCGCTCGCGCGAATAGCAACACCGACGCCGCTCATCGAGAATGGCGCATTTGAGCAGCAACTGGTAGTACGCCGAGTTCGACTCGAGGTCGAGCTGCGAGGAGAGTACGAGGTATTACGATCAGCCGTGCTACGGACTGGCTGCGTCTCACGCACCATGTCGGTTTCGTGAGCGGCTTCCACGCCATCGTCGCCTCCCTCATCCCAAAAATGAGGCGGTCGATTCAGTAGGTTTCGAAAAGTCACCTTTCACTCTCCCTGGTTTCGAAGTATGCTTGACGCTGGTCTGAGGTAGGTTTTGTAACCGTCGCAACTTTCACGCAGCTTTTCAGCTGGTTCGTTTCCTCACCTGTTCATGGTCGAACCACTCCGATTTGTCGAGCTACGTCAGCCTATCATAGGCGTCTGAAATTTCCGCTAGTCCCCAGGCCTGGGCGCTAGCCTCTGGTTTGGCGAATGTTTCAGTCAGCCAGAGATCCGTCGGCCTATGAGAGACATTTCCCGCTTTTTTGGAGGTAGTCCTCCTTATTGAATTGTTGGTTATTTACAGTGATTATTTTGATGTATGCATGTTAGTAAATATCAAGTATTGCGTTCCAGCGTGAATACATGAGGCACACCAAAAGTATTGTTTTGGTTTCGTTCAATGTTTTTTATGGACTTATTTTTTGTGTTAAATGATGGGATGTTGATGCTTTTATGTACGTTATGTTTAAAATGTAACCAAATAAGGTTTGATGTCTTTTGAAAACAAATTTCCCTGCATTTTGTTGTTATAACTGAAGGATCGTGGTTGACAGTGTTGCGATCAGATATTGACCGCCCCTAGGATCGCCTCTGGAAGGTTCGCACAATACTGAGTAGTGGTGGTGGGTCCTTGACCTCAATAGCAGGGTGAATGTAAAATGCTTGAGATGAATAAAACACGCAAGTAAAAGGGATATGAATAAGAGTACACGGGAATTCGAAACGTCCTAGCCATATACTCTAAGGGGTATATTCCTTTATTACAACGAAATCCAACCACTCCACCCCAGACGGTTACGAAACTGTTCGGGCAGAATCAACGTCACTGCTGATGCCTGGTGCTGTCTGGCCAACGGTCCAGCTGCCTTCGTAACTGTACGACCCTCCGCGTCACTTCCGTCTTTTCGTCTTCATTCTCGGTGGTGCGTGCTTCAATTGCGACAAGGAGCGCATGTCAAACATATATCTATGTTTATAATTGGGTAGGCTGTAGTGGGGTACGTACTGTGGGGTACAACCCCTTAGGGTTTCATTCTTGTATCATTCTCTCCATAGTTCATCCATTCCCCTTGCCTTAGTCTCGACATGGTATCTAGAGCAGGAGGTCTCTAGGACCTAAGAATCGGGCCCACCTAACTGTGTTACCCTACCTACTGCTGTAAGAACTAGTAGTAGAAACAAGAATGAAGAAAGGAGTGGTTTCACTAGCAAGCAGTTGGATACATATAGAAAACCCTAATTGGGCTGTACTCACTATGGAGTACCCCACTGTAGGCTAGACAATTATAACATTCTGACACACCCCTATAGCCAAAATGGGGTGTAATCAGCACAACAAGCAAGCATAGTAATAGTTCACAATTACAAGCAAAGCTAGAGGTAATCACAGCGGGCAAGTGAGGAGGAGGAGGAACTGTGGAAGGAGAGAAGATGGGAGGCAACGACTGAAGCTGCAGAGGTACGGGCACAGGAGCTGCTGACTCAGGGTTACCGAAGCAAGGGCGACGGACCCACAGTGGCTACCGAAGCAAGGGCGACGGACTACTGGAGTGACTGGCTCCGCGGCTAAGACGAGCGGCAGGAGCAACGGACCCACTGGCGACTGGTGCAACAGGCTCACTGGCTACCGAAGCAAGGGCGACGGACTACAGGCGCTGCAGGCGACACGACAGCTACCTCCACACAACCTCCTCCAACTGACCCACACCCTTGACACACACCCCTTGCTGAAACCCTAGCTTCACTTCCACGTCACCCCCCTTAAACCCTAAACCCTCGGCTCCCACACACTCACCCCCCTCAGCGGCAGCTGCAGCAGTGGGAGACGGAGGAGGAGGAGGAGTAGGGGACGGATCACACACCCGCCACCCCCATACTTGCCACCCCCATACCCCCAAACGCAGGGCAAAAACGGGGGCAGCAGCTGGGGCGATGTGTGAGCAGAAGCGGGGCGGCGCGCGCGCCCCCATGGCGCCTCGACGAGTGACAGGAGGGGGGGAACGCGCGGCCCCCCAGGGCGCCGCGACGGGCGACGGGAGGGGCGACGCGCGGCCCCCCAGGGCGCTTCGACGAGTGACGGGAGGGGGGGACGCGCGCCCCCCCAGGGCGCCGCGACGGGCGACGGGAGGGGGGGGGGTCGACGCGCTAGTCCCCAGGGCGCCGCGACGGGCGACGGGCAGCGCGACGCGCGCCCCCCCTGGGCGCCGCGACGGGCGACGGGATGGCGGGGAGAGGGGGGCGCGCGCGGATCCCCCACGGCAGAAAACCGCCGCGCGCCTCGGGGCGCACGGCGGGCAGAAACTCGCCGCGCGCCCCGAGCGCACGGCGGGATGAAAACCCGAGGAGGAAGACGGCGCGCGCCCGAGGCGCGCGAGAAGCAGAACAGCAGCGGAAGCAGTTAGGTGGTGGGCCCACCCACAGGATCGACCCAAGGGGGTCGACCTGCTCTGAAACCATGTAAGAACTAGTAGTAGAAACAAGAATGAAGAAAGGAGTGGTTTCACTAGCAAGCAGTTGGATACATATAGAAAACCCTAATTGGGCTGTACTCACTATGGAGTACCCCACTGCAGGCTAGACAATTATAACATTCTGACAACTGCCTGCCTGCCTTGCCTACTGCCCGCGCGCGCCTCGGCTGCAGCGCGCGTCATCCTTTTTTTTTCGCGCGCGCCTCGGCTTTTAGCGCGCGCGTCACTGTTTTTAGCGCGCGCCACTGCTGCAGCGCTGCGCGCTAGCTCGCGTCGAGCCCGCGCAGCTCACCGCCGCGCGCAGCCCGCCGTCGCGTGCAGCCCGCCGTCGCCCCGCGCGCCGCGTCTGTCGCCAGCGCAGCCCGCCGCTGCGCCGCGCGTCGCAACGGCCGCCTGCGCGGCCCGCTGCTGCTTAGCGCGCTACTTTAGGAGCTCGCGTGCGGCCGCTCCTGCCTACTGCCTGCTGCCTGCTGCCTCCTGCCTGCTGCCTCTGCCTTTGCTTGTGGCCTGGTGCCTGCTGCCTCTTGTCTGCTGCTTGCTTCCTCCTGCCTCTGCCTGCTGCCATTATGACGACGCCTAACGTTCTAGTGTTCGAGCCTGACGGTCGCCCCATAGAGTTCGCTGTGTGGTTAGACGATCTCCAGCTGTTCCTTCTGACCGATGCCAAAGAGGGTGTTTCCCTGTTCGATTACGTGTCTGGCACTGCCGTTGCTCCTGCTGCCGATGCTCCTGCTCTCGAGCGCTCGCAGTGGCAGACTCGCGATGCTGCTGTACGCCTCGCTATTAGGAACCACCTGCCGATTACTGAGCGCGCGCATTTCAGCCAGCACAAAACTGCTACGACACTGTATGACGCTGTAGTTGCGCGCTACTCCTCCCCGGCCACTGCAGCCATAGGTCGACTCATGCTACCTCACCTGTTCCCCGACCTTTCCTCGTTCACCACTGCTGAGGACCTCATTTCCCACCTGCGCGCCACTGACACTCGCTTTCGTGCCACCCTTTCAGCCGAGTTCTGCGCCGCATACCCCCCCCGATGTACTTCACTCTCTACTTCCTCGTCACCCGCCTCCCTGACACTCTTAGCTCCGTCAGGGACCACTTCCTAGCGCTCGACCCCCTCACTCTCACTGTCGACGACTTCGAGAAGCACCTCCTAGCAGCAGAGAAGAACATCCTCGCTGTAGGTGCTGCTCGTGGCTCTCCGCGCTCTCCCCTCTTTGAGGGGTTCTCTCCCTCCCCTCTCACCCCCTCCACGTCTCCGCAGCTGCTGCTCACGACTACCTTGGTGCTGAGGAGGTCGGGGCTGCTTCCGCTCCTAGTGGGAAGCGTCGCAGCGGCAGGGGCGGCAAGGGTGGCAGGGGAGGTGGGGGTGGCGGTGGTGCAGGCGGCGGGGGAGGTGGAGGTGGAGGTGGTGGGGGTGGTCGTGGGGGTGGAAGTGGTTGAGGTGGTGGTGGGGGCGGCGGGGGCACTGGGAGCGGTGGAGGTTGCAGCGGCAGCAGTGGGGGAGGGGGGAGCGGTGGTGGCAGTGGTGGTCCGGGCCAGCAGCAGTCGCAGCAGCAGCAGCAGCAGCAGCGTCAGCGCCAGACCCCCAATTCCCAGCAGCTTCTTGACTGGTATGCCGGGCGTGGGGCTTCTGGGGGTCCTGGTGGCTGCCCCTCTATCATTCGCACAGGTCCCCGCGCTGGTCGCCAGTGCACAGGGTTTCACACTGAGCAACGCTGCTTCGCTCGGCTTAGCGACGCCTGGCGCGCCAAGATTCCTGATGCTCCTGAGTTCCCCAACTGGGCAGAGCTACTTAGGCGTGATGTACCTATCTTTGATCTTGACTATGAGGCTATTCTTGCTGCCATGTATGCATTGACTATTAGTGCTGAGGGTAACTGCTACTTGTGTGTGCCGCCGGATCCTGGTATAGCCCCTGGTATAGCCCCTGCAGCACTAGGTGCTTGTGAGTCTGCTCCCCCTGGTACTGCGCCTGCACAGGCCTTGCACACCTTTACACTTGACTCTGGTGCTTCCCGCTGTTTCTTTCGCGACAGTACCACAGTCACTCCCCTCCCTGCACCTGTTCCTGTCTCACTGGCTGACCCCTCTGGGAGCCCGGTGCTTGCACGGTCTTCCACTGTGCTTCCGTGTCCGGCGGTCCCGTCTGGTGAGCTGTCTGGTCTCCACCTCCCCTCGTTCTCTACGAACTTGGTGAGCAACGCTGTCCTCCAGGATGCGGGTGTTGACACCTTCACCCCTGGCCGGCAGCGTGTGGCGATCTGCGCGTCCTTCCGCGTCCGGCCGCCACTTGGACACGTTCACCCGTGCGCCTGGGTCCAGTCTCTACACCCTCACCACTGCGTCGCGCTCTACCCCTTTGTCTCCCCAGCTGCACGTGTCTGCACAGGCAGCTTCCCAGTGTGAGTCTCGCCGGCTGTCTCACGACACTCTCATGTGGTACCCAGTGGAGCCTCCGACGGCCAGTCTACGGTCTCCGCCAGGCGCCATGTGAGTGGTACGACACACTGAGGACGACTCTTGCGGCTCTTGGGTTTGCCCTGTCGACTGCTGACCTGTCGCTGTTTCTGTGCACCGACACTTCGCTGCCGCCGTTCTACATCCTTGTGTACGTTGACGACTTGGTCTTTGCCACTGCTGACACTGAGGCTCTCGCCCTGGTGAAGTCGGAGCTGCAGAAGAGACACACGTGCACAGACCTGGGTGAGCTGCGCAGCTACCTTGGCGTGCAGATCACCCGGGACAGAGCACGCCGCACCATCACACTGACTCAGTCACACATGGTGCAGCAGGTCCTTTAGCGCTTCGGCTTCACCCGGTCCTCGGCACAGGCCACTCCTCTGGCTACAGGTCACTCGCTCTCAGCTCCACCTTCGGACGAGTCCGTAGAGCCGAGTGGTCCTTACCCAGAGCTAGTGGGCTGCCTCATGTACCTGATGACCTGCACTCGTCCTGACCTTGCGTACCCTCTTGGCCTTCTGTATGAGAAGGCATTCCTGTATGCTGCAGGAGTCGACACTACCGAGTACGAAGTCGAGGAGTCAGAAGATTCGACGCGAGGAGCAGTGGTTGGTGGAAACTCGGAGGAGTTAGCAGCTACCTGTGCAGACGCTGTGGTGAGTGTGTACAGGTTCGACCCCGGCTGTTGTGTGAACGTAGCCAGGTGAAGGCCTCTCTTGGCGCATGTGCAGATCGCCACACGCTGACCTCCAGGAGTAAAGGTGTCAACCCGTACATCAGGTGTTGCTCACCAGGTTCGTCGAGAACGAGTGGAGGTGGATACACTGCACATATGTACTCCGCTACAACACGTGGTACCTACTAAAGCTACTGTGGGCATCATGATGTGGGCTCCGCGCGTTACATATCCCTTGTTGTCACCACCCATGCCGTGACATACGTCACCGTATTGAACAACTCACGCATCCGCGCAAACGCGCAAGGAATCCTTATGCTCAAGGCTCGAGCAAGCAGGACACACATCACACTGAACGTTGTGTTGATCGTACAGAATGGGCCACGAGTGACACCGGTGGTTGGGCAGCAAACCAGACTGGTCGGTCAGCACAGCAGTCCGCGCCTCCTGCGGCAAACGCATTTCAGCATGCTGATGGAGCTGCCATTCCGCCTGCTGCTGGAGCGGCGATTCCCCCTGCTGCTGGAGCGGCGATTCCCCTTGCTGCTGGAGCGGCGATTCCGCGTGCTGCTGGAGCGGCGATTCCGTCTGCTGCTGGCGCGGCGATTCCGCGTGCTGCTGGAGCGGCGATTTCGATTGCTGCTGGCGCGGCGATTCCGCGTGCTTCTGGAGCGGCGATTCCGCCTGCTGCTGGAGCGGCGATTCCGACTGCTTCTGGTGCTGAGTTTCCGCGTGCAGGTGGAGCGGAGTTTCCGCCTGCTGCTGGTTCTGCGTTGCCGCCTGCTGCTGGCGCAGCGTTTCATCCTGCTGCTGGAGAGGCGTTTCATCCTGCTGCTGGAGAGGCGTTTCATCCTGCTGCTGGAGAGGCGTTTCATCCTGCTGCTGGAGAGGCGTTTCATCCTGCTGCTGGAGAGGCGTTTCATCCTGCTGCTGGAGAGGAGTTTCAGCCAGCTGCTGGACAAGAGTTTCCGCAACAGGCTGGAGCCACGCTTGCGTTTGCTGCGGGAGGAGCAAACCATCCTGGTGCTGGAGCAGCGTCTCCGTCTGCTGCTGGAGTCGCGTTCCCTCCTGAGGCTGGAGCCCCATTCCAGCCCGCTGCTGGTCAGGAGTTTCCGTCAGCTGCTGGAGGCGCACTCCAGTCTGATGCTGATGCATTCGATGCCCTTCTGGAAGAGGAGGACGAGTGTGGTGGGTACAACCAGCCAGACGACCTCGAGGCGCAGCCAGAGGAAGAACCCGTCATCCCAGAACCTGGGTACATGGATCAGCTGATGGAAAATCGTGCGACACAAATTGCAGCGCCAACAGTTGACCGTGCAGTGTTTGAGGCCCAGGCCGCGCGGACCCGCCAGTTGGAGCGCGAGCTTATGCAAGCGCGGAATGAGATGAGAGCAATGCAGCGACAACATGCACCCTCACATTGAGGCCCTGGTCAACGCGATGGGCAGCGATTCGACTGGGAGCTCAACACCGATGCGGATGCAGGTGGTTGGAACGATGCAGAAAACAGCGCGGATGCAAACGGAGGGCTGTCAGGTGGGGCCGGTGCGGCTAACGGAGTGCTGTCAGGTGGTGCTGGTGCGGTTAACGGAGGGCTGTCAGGTGGTGCTGGTGCGGCTAACGGAGGGCTGTCAGGTGGTGCTGGTGCGGCTAACGGAGGGCTGTCAGGTGGTGCTGGTGCGGCTAACGGAGGGCTGTCAGGTGGTGCTGGTGCGGCTAACGGAGGGCTGTCAGGTGGTGCTGGTGCGGCTAACGGAGGGCTGTCAGGTGGGGCCGGTGCGGCTAACGGAGGGCTGTCAGGTGGTGCTGGTGCGGCTAACGGAGGGCTGTCAGGTGGTGCTGGTGCGGCGAACGGAGGGCCGTCAGGTGGTGCTGGTGCGGCTAACGGAGGGCGTCGTGGGGCGGCTGGTGCGGCTAACGGAGCGCGTTTCAGTGCGGCTGTGGGAAACGAAGACAACTACGAGCTGTTACTTAACATACCGCGTCCCATGGTTTTGGTAGAGCCAAACCGCCCTGCTATCATCAACGCTGTCAACAATGCGTACATGAATGGGGCCACGCTCGACTTGCATCAACTAACTCGAATGCAACGGTCGTGGGCGCACCGATATGCAATGGCATTGGCCTCTGTTCCGGCGAAGCACAACGGCTTCACGGTAGGCCACGGTTTCCTCATTGTCCCACTCTGTCGCTGCCCTTGTGCCTTAGCCCCTCCACCTCCCTTTTGTACCGCCTCTCTCTCCTCCCTTGGCAGGCGCGCTCAGTCCACCCATACCCCCAAGACCCGCCTTACCCTCCTCCCGTGGCTCTGAGGTGCGGCACCATCACCAAAACTGTCCCACTCTGTCGCTGCCCTTGTGCCTTAGCCCCTCCACCTCCCTTTTGTACCGCCTCTCTCTCCTCCCTTGGCAGGCGCGCTCAGTCCACCCATACCCCCAAGACCCGCCTTACCCTCCTCCCGTGGCTCTGAGGTGCGGCACCATCACCAAAACTGTCCCACTCTGTCGCTGCCCTTGTGCCTTAGCCCCTCCACCTCCCTTTTGTACCGCCTCTCTCTCCTCCCTTGGCAGGCGCGCTCAGTCCACCCATACCCCCAAGACCCGCCTTACCCTCCTCCCGTGGCTCTGAGGTGCGGCACCATCACCAAAACTGTCCCACTCTGTCGCTGCCCTTGTGCCTTAGCCCCTCCACCTCCCTTTTGTACCGCCTCTCTCTCCTCCCTTGGCAGGCGCGCTCAGTCCACCCATACCCCCAAGACCCGCCTTACCCTCCTCCCGTGGCTCTGAGGTGCGGCACCATCACCAAAACTGTCCCACTCTGTCGCTGCCCTTGTGCCTTAGCCCCTCCACCTCCCTTTTGTACCGCCTCTCTCTCCTCCCTTGGCAGGCGCGCTCAGTCCACCCATACCCCCAAGACCCGCCTTACCCTCCTCCCGTGGCTCTGAGGTGCGGCACCATCACCAAAACTGTCCCACTCTGTCGCTGCCCTTGTGCCTTAGCCCCTCCACCTCCCTTTTGTACCGCCTCTCTCTCCTCCCTTGGCAGGCGCGCTCAGTCCACCCATACCCCCAAGACCCGCCTTACCCTCCTCCCGTGGCTCTGAGGTGCGGCACCATCACCAAAACTGTCCCACTCTGTCGCTGCCCTTGTGCCTTAGCCCCTCCACCTCCCTTTTGTACCGCCTCTCTCTCCTCCCTTGGCAGGCGCGCTCAGTCCACCCATACCCCCAAGACCCGCCTTACCCTCCTCCCGTGGCTCTGAGGTGCGGCACCATCACCAAAACTGTCCCACTCTGTCGCTGCCCTTGTGCCTTAGCCCCTCCACCTCCCTTTTGTACCGCCTCTCTCTCCTCCCTTGGCAGGCGCGCTCAGTCCACCCATACCCCCAAGACCCGCCTTACCCTCCTCCCGTGGCTCTGAGGTGCGGCACCATCACCAAAACTGTCCCACTCTGTCGCTGCCCTTGTGCCTTAGCCCCTCCACCTCCCTTTTGTACCGCCTCTCTCTCCTCCCTTGGCAGGCGCGCTCAGTCCACCCATACCCCCAAGACCCGCCTTACCCTCCTCCCGTGGCTCTGAGGTGCGGCACCATCACCAAAACTGTCCCACTCTGTCGCTGCCCTTGTGCCTTAGCCCCTCCACCTCCCTTTTGTACCGCCTCTCTCTCCTCCCTTGGCAGGCGCGCTCAGTCCACCCATACCCCCAAGACCCGCCTTACCCTCCTCCCGTGGCTCTGAGGTGCGGCACCATCACCAAAACTGTCCCACTCTGTCGCTGCCCTTGTGCCTTAGCCCCTCCACCTCCCTTTTGTACCGCCTCTCTCTCCTCCCTTGGCAGGCGCGCTCAGTCCACCCATACCCCCAAGACCCGCCTTACCCTCCGCCCGTGGCTCTGAGGTGCGGCACCATCACCAAAACTGTCCCACTCTGTCGCTGCCCTTGTGCCTTAGCCCCTCCACCTCCCTTTTGTACCGCCTCTCTCTCCTCCCTTGGCAGGCGCGCTCAGTCCACCCATACCCCCAAGACCCGCCTTACCCTCCTCCTGTGGTTGTGAGGTGGAAAGCAATCAGTCACACTGCAGCAGCAAGTCTCTGACCTTGTGCCTAACCCCCTCCCTCCCAGTAACGTCCTCCTCCCCGTATCTTCTCCCTTTGCAGGCTGGCTCGGTCCACCTGTTCCAACCAGACATGCCTTACCCTCCTCCTGGGCCTGTGAGATGCGGTGCACTCAAACCCTCTGACTAATCCAGTCTTCTCCCTTTGTGCCTAAGCCACTAAACCCATCTCAACATTCTCTTGCCCTGAACCACTGTGAGCATGCAGGCCGCTGCAAAGAAAGCGACATACTTGTCTATGAGACTCCGAATGCCCATCTGCAGTTCTGGTGCCCTCGTTCAGCGATTATCAACGCGCTGGCGTCGGCCCTGAAGTACACCGACCCGGGGGAAATTGAAAATCTGACGCTTGTGATGGAGAACGAGACTGGTCGACCGGGCCAGTTTCGGAAGAAGTTCCAGGACAAACGCAACACGATACTCACCACCGGACGAGTCAACCTGTATGAGTACTTCAACATCAAGATAGAACGGCCAAACCTCCACCAGGCCGTGGTGGGACGGGTGGAACCTTCTGCCTTCGTCGATAAATTCGCTCCAGGTAGAGTTTCGTACATACTTGTCTTGTTCCCCTTTGCCAAGCCCTGCTCCTTCGCACAAGCACCCCTATGTCCCATCGGTCTCATATCCTGCCCACTCTCTTCCACATCTTTCCTCTAACTATGCCCCTGTACCCAGGTATTGCGGTCCATCCACCAGTTTTTACATGCTTGTACCCTGCTCTTTCCCATCTACCCCAATCTTTTGCGGTCTACCCCCCTTGCCCGCCATCGTTCATATAGTGCAAGCCCATGCCCCCAGGTGGAGTACATGATTCCCCCTTCATAGTCACACCCCCTGACCCCTCATGCCTTCTGCCCCCCCGCCACTACCCTCCATGTGCACGCTCCCTCGCTGCCTGGTTCGACCCTCCCTGCCCTCCTCGCCCTCTCCCACCGCCCGCCGTTTGTTCCTCCCCGCCTGTGCCCTCCCCGCGTCTACCTTCTCCTACCCTCCTATGCCGCACGCTTCTTCCTTTCCCTCGCTGACCTACTCCACTCCCTGCCTCTCCTCAATCCGCACTCTGCCCCTCATTTCTCGCCCGCCTGCGCTAGGCCTTTACCCCGCCTTCCACTCGCTGGGATTCTCCGCCCCCCTCCTCCCCCACGTTCCCTGTCTCCTGCTCTACCTCCCCTGCCTTTGGCTTCCAACCTCCCTTCCCCGCGTTTCCTCCCTCTGCGTGCTCGGCTTCTCCCATCCCTGCCTCTCGCTTCTCCTCGCCCTGCCCCTCGATTCCTCCCCTCCCCTCCCCCCCGTGACCGCTTTCTTCCCTCCCTGGCCTTCCCTTCCTTTCTCAGTAACTCTCCTTCATTCCCTCCCCGCCCCTGGCCGCCCATACCCCTGTCCTTGCTTTCTCCCCTCCCTGCCCCACGGTTCTTCCCTCCCCACGCTTACCTTCCACCCTCCGTGCCCATCCTTTGATTTCCCCGCACCCATCGCCCTTCCCCTCCCTGGCCCTCATTTCCCACACCCTCGCCCATGCTTTCTACCCTCCCTGCCCCTCCTTTCCTCCCTCCCTACGTTCAGCATCTCCCCTCTCTGCCCCTCTCATCCTCCCTCCCTGCCCTTTGCTTTCCCCTTTGTTACGCTCTCTTTCCCCCAAGCACATCCCGCCCCCCGTTGATCCCTTTCATGGCAACTTAAACCCTCAACCAGCATCCAAGGCATGTCACCATGTTTACCTGAGTTGTGATTCATTTGTAACCCACCTGCCGCTTCAATCCTAAACCCAAAATGCCAGACGATGACTCGTGGGACCTGTTGACCTGGACTAAAAATGAGCGAGGGGTCCTTTTTGCCAACGACATCTTCACAAGCGCCATCTATCTGTCATATGAGAGGGAGGGCTATCCGAAGCTGGTGCTGCGGCTGAAGCACATTGCGTTTTGGCTCCTCGGGGTATGTGAACTATCAGTGTCTTTTAGTTGGTGTCAAGTCTTTGCATTATTCTCATGTCAACTTCCCCTGTTTTTATATCTGCAGGTCGAACACAAGATCAAGACTGGTTTGACTCTCTCTCACAGCAGTGTGGACTTCAAAGGACTGTATGCATGATACAGCTCCAATGTCCGCAATGCCGTTCGTGATGCCATCCTGAGCCCGACACGCCAAGCCACGGGGCCGTGGTGGCAGGCCGATATCAAAGCGTGGAAGTTCCATGAGAGCACATATTGCCTTTTTATTAGCTGTGATGGGATTGAGGATTTGAACCCTTAAACAGTGGTGCTATCATGCAAGTTAGCTAGGCAATAACTACCACTGTGCTTGCTATGTAGCTTACAGACAGGACCCTAGATTGTAGTAATGTAGTATTGTTGGTAGTAGGTACTGTTTATGGAGACGTGTAATAATAAATATTGGTGATTTTAACGAAACCCAAAAATGGAACAAAAAACCCTAATTATAAAAGCCTGTAATATAATGCATATAAACCAAAACGAAATAAAACAAAAACCATTGACTTATATCATCGCTAACACAGTATAACGAAACGAGTAACTATAAAGGAGACGCAGCGAGCCAGTAACATTCGGACTAAATGTCCACGAATTGTCGCACGTCATCGCAATTCGAGGAATGGCACAGTGACACTTGGGAATGAAACAATGTCGCGTGTATAACCCTGAATGCGCCACGAATGAACAAGCTGTCCAATAATATGGGGACGCGTTGGCCGTTTATGAACCTGGTTAAAACACCAGAAACAGCCGCGTGTCAGACTAGACTGTCAGACACAGGAGGTCCGCAGCGAATCAGGCATCTCACAACACCAGTAGACTGACCATTGGGGTACCGACAAATTGCATTCCTTTTCTGGGAGGGAAAAATCGTCGCAATGCCGCGTGTCAGCTATGGCTCTGACATAAATCGTTCGCACCCAATAACGAAACAGTAACTGGAAAGTCGATGAATCTCCAGCGGTTTCGACTAAACATACCCATGCAATCATCAACGAGTACGGAAGTCTGCGACTCTGAAACCAAGAGGCCTCAGCAAATACGAGAGCACCATAACAATCTCGCCCACCAATTAACATCCTGAGATACAGTCGCCCGGAAAACGCCTATACCTACGTGCGAGAAACTTCAACGCAGGTTTACGTTCGGGAACCCACACAGTTTGAAAATATACTCTACGTAGGTTCGTTAGCAACCGGAAAGTAGGCGTTTTGAAACCTACTGGAAAGTATCTACTAGGTATCCAAATCGTAGCTTTTTTCGACCCACATTTTTGGGATGCTACTGCACGTGCTGTGCCACGCTCCCTCGCACGGATACTCCGCGGGTACTCCTCTCCTCGCGGTGCGTGGCGTGCATCGCACGGCAGGCAGCAGTCGGGCAGGTGCAACTGGAACAGACGGTAGAAGACCGATCGGAGGGGCTGTTCGGGAGAAGAAGCGACGCGGACGTCTACGTGGGACGATACCGATGGTTGATCGCCACATCGGCTTCCACTGGATCGTGAGTCGCTATGATGGTCGTCGCCGGATCCGCGATAAGCAAACCCTCTGGAATACGGAAACGAATTTCAAGAGCCATACCCTAGTGACGGACTTATTCGTCACCTGATCTATAATATAGTACTAAGTCGCTGTGTTCGCCGCTAACTCTGTCCTGCATATGTGTCTGAAGGAAAGTCCTTTTTAGTCTACGTCCTACTAACGAGGACTTTCCTACGTCCTGCATATGTGCAGATCTAATCTGCGGTGCCAGATCTGGGACACGTAGCGTACGACATTCGCCAGAGTCGTCAAGGCCCCCTCCCAGCCTTCGTGTGTCTGCATGATCGGGAGGAGGGGGTATCCCGTCCCGCCCATTCCCCTCCAGTCTCAACTTCCCTAGCTTCTCATCCACTAGTGATGCTCTTGTGCTGAGCTGGAGCTATGGCGGTTTCCCTCTGTTCGACGTGTCAATACACATTGTTCTGTTCATCTTACTCTAGGTTGTCTAGGGGTCACACCTTAGAGGGTACAACCCAACTCTCTCGATAGTCTTGTACCCCTGTTACGAGTGCAATTGAGGGAACGAGCGAGAATTGCACTACCGAAGCAAGAGTATAATGAGCGAAGGCATGAGCGAAGAATATATAGCGAAACTACAGTGGTAACGGTAATGTGTGGAAAATGGGGTGCGCGACGGGCCTAGCGCCGAGGTTGGGAGATGTCAAGGTGGAGGTCCGGAGCGCGGGTTACCAACCGAACCGTGAGGTTGGGTCGCGTCGTGAACAGTGGCGGGAATGGTGTCGAAGCGAGTCTCGCGAGTGGTAACGGATTACTGTTGGGTGCTGTTGGCGGGAACAGTGGTGTACGCGCTGAACAGGGTCGCGAAGTAAGGAAAATGAATTTTCCTTACACTACCCCCCCCCCTAAGGAGGCCCTCCTTACGAAAGCGCGTGTACATCCCGGAAATTTCGGCTGCGCAGGTACTCTGTGAGGACGGGGTGGTTTTCGATTCTGTCCAGGGGAACCCAGTTGTCCTCGGTGGGTGTGCGGTCTTTCCAGCGGATCTGGAATTCGATCCTGCGGGCTCCCCGTGGGTCACGTACTCGGTGGCTCAGTATTTTTTCGGGCGTGATGATTGGCTCTGTTGGTGGTCGTGTCATGCTGACCGGGCGGTTGCGAGGCAGTTGGCTGGTGGATGGCACGTATGGACGAAGCAGGCTGACGTGGAACGACGGGCTGACGTACCAGTCAGCAGGGAGGAGGAGGTGGGCGGTGATGGGTGTGATCATGTGGCTGATGCGAAATGGCCCGCAATATCGGGGGCGGAGTTTTGGGGTGATGGGCAGGCGGAGGTTTTGAGTGTCGAGTAATACCAGGTCGTCGGGTTGGTAAGTGACGGGGCGGCGGTGTCGGTCGGCGTTGCGCTTAGCGATGACGTTTGATTTTTTTATTGCTTCTGCTGCTCGAGTCCGTGCTGCTTGCAATATTTCTGCGAACTGTTGCGCGCGTGGGACTAGATTGTAGGGATTCGGGGTCATGGGTACTGTGGGGTCTTGTCCGTAGTTCAGGTAAAATGGTGACCGTTGAGTCGTGGCAGAGGGTGAGTTGTTGTACGCGAATTCGATGAGTGGCAGTTGCTGTTCCCATGTGGTCGGGTCATCGCACGTGGCGCGGATGAGTTGTTCCATGGTCTGATTTGTCCGTTCTGTCTGTCCGTCGGTTTCGGGGTGGTATGATGAACTAAACTGTAGTCGCGTGCCGAACTGCTGCCACAGGTTCCGCCAGAAGTTGCTGGTGAATTTCGTATCTCGGTCGCTGATGATCGCTGCTGGTATCCCGTGCAGTCGAACGACGATAGAGATGAAGAGGCGGCCTGTTTCTTCGGCTGTGATTGATTTTTTGCTGGCTGCGAAGTGTGCCATTTTCGTCAGTCGATCGACGACGACCAGGATCGCGTCATTCCCACTCGCTCTGGCCGGTAACCCCGTAACGAAGTCCATCGTCACCTGCTGCCAAGCACGCTCTGGGGGTGGTATCGGCTGCAACTGTCTTGCCGGCCGCTTCCGTGATGACTTCATGATCTGGCAAGTGGGACACGATGCCACGTGTCGTTGAACGTCAGTCAACATTTCGGGCCAGTAATAATACCGATGTAGCTGCTGCCGTGTTTTTTCTACCCCGAAGTGTCCCGAGGTAACTCCGTCGTGTGCCTCCTGTAACAGTAATTCCCGTAGCAGTGTGTACCTTCGTACCCAGATGCGGTCGGTCCCGGCTTTTACGTAATAGACTCCCTTTGCTGCTGCGAACTGCTGCGAATTTCCTCCTGTGAAGAATGGGTCCGTTTGGTACCCGTGGGTAAATAGTCCTGTCAGTAGTGGGCTGGTCTGGGCGAGTAGTATCGCGTGGATTTGGGCAGTGGGGCGGGTCAGTGCGTCAGCGATGTTCGATGCTCCTTTTTTGTAGGTGACCGTGTAGTGTAAATTTGACTCGAGGAAATCGAGCCAGCGGATCTGTCGTGGGTTGAGGTGGGGCTGTGCGCGGAGGTACTGTAGGGATCGGTGGTCTGTCCGTACTGTCACGTCGGCGCCGGTCAAGTAACAGCGCCAGACCTTGAAGGCATGCACGAACGCGAGCATTTCGCGGTCGTGGATCGGGTAATTCTTCTCGGGCGGATGCAGTTTTCGTGACTCGTATGCGATAGGTTGTAAACCGTTGCCGAAGTCCTGTAGCAGTACGGCTCCAATGGCGATGTCGCTCGCGTCTGTAACGACTTCGAATGGGCGGTGTGGGTCGGCGATGCGCAGCACGGGCGGTGAACAGAGAACATTTTTCAGGGCAGAGAAGGCAGCATGCTCTTTCTCCCCCCACGTAAAAGCGACCCCCTTCCTCAGTAAATCCGTCAGCGGGGCAGTCAACTGTGCCATGTCGGGGACGAACCGACGTACATAATTAACGAACCCTAAGAAACTCTGCAGCTCCGTGATGTTCGTCGGGGGGTGCCACGCTTTTACCGTGTCCAGATTTTTTGGGTCTATTTCAACCCCAGCCTCCGAAATGACGTGCCCCAAAAATTCTAACCTATCCTGGAAGAACTCGCACTTGGAACCCTTGGTCAGTAGGCGGTGCTCGTCTAAAAACTTAAAGACTGCTTCCAGATCTGCTAAGTGCTGCTGCTTGTCCCTGCTGTAGACTAGGATGTCGTCGAGGTAAACTATCACGCATTTATCTAAGAGTGGCCTAAACGCCTCGTTCATGGTCATCTGAAATGTCGCCGGTGCGTTGGTCAGCCCGAATGGCATCACGGTGTATTCGAATGACCCGTATCAAGTCCTAAATGCTGTTTTGGCGCAGTCCGATGGTTCGACTCTAATCTGATGGTAACCTCCCCGTAAATCTATTTTCGAGAAAACCCGGGCTGTTCGCAGTTGGTCGACCAGTTCATTGGCGCGGGGAATGGGGTATCGCGACTTGACTGCTACCCGGTTCAGTGCTCTGTAATCGATGCACATGCGGAACCCTCTGTCTTTTTTCGGTGTGAACAGTATCGGTGCGGCGAACGGTGACGAGCTCGGTCGGATGAATCTTTTCTCTAACAGGTAATCTAACTGCTTCC